ATTTACCCTTTTCAAATGAAGCCTTAAAAAATGTTAAATAAAACCTTACCTAAGCACGTTACTTTTTGAAAAGAAGAAAATCTAAATGTGAGCCATAAATTTGCTAGGCATAAGCATGGGATGCTCATACAGGCATGGACTCATTTTACGAAAGAGTACTACCGTCAAATGGCAATCACCAACTTTCACATTACACCTGAAAATTCAGCCTCTAGCCGTGACCTTTTCTGGAACATGTATGCTTTTGTAGAATCTTCTGGCCTATGAGTGCACTTACTGAGCTGCTCCCTTAATAACGAGCTTTCAGCGCCGGTCCCTGTAAAACACAGCATTATGGCCAATATTAGCTTAATTTCTGCTGTGCAATACCATAACTTGTACCACATATATCTGTCAACTCTTTCATAAGACTCGTTAATATGATATCACATAAATCAGATTTTACAGAGAAAGGTGAAAAGGATGAATGTTCCATCTTATTTCTGAATGGTGCACAATACGGTAAGAGTGAAAGTTATGTGATTGGGCACATAGGGCTCTGATCAGAGTGAGATTTCCAAAATCACAAAGCAACTCGGAAATAGGAAGCAAATGCAGCCAAGCAGGCTAACCCTCATTACTTCCACTGAAAATTTAATTTATAAAGACTTCTCAAATCTTGAAAAACATGAGCAAAAGAGAGTGCAGAATAATGTGCATGGCAGTGACTTGTGATAAGTTCATCAGGCACATATACAAACTACCATTCGGCAAATACAAAAGAGCATTCCATTCAATTATGATCTGATAAGTTTGGTTTAGAAATAAATTTGTTATAAGTAGGGAGGTAAATGAGGGAAATACATGAAAAACTACAAGAATCTCATGGATTTACTACTTAATATTCACGCGATTGATACAAGCTAACTTAAGAAATAAGAGTAAATAATAATCCCTAAACAATCAAAAGAGCACGAGGTGTCCTGTACAATACCAAACACCCTGTCCTATAGACATCATTAGTGAAAATGTACTTATGATACCATGCAATTAGATAATTTAGATATTAACTACATTTAATATTAGACAGCTAAAATTTTTACAGTGACAAGACAAATTATTGTTCCTATTCCAAAGCTTCTCTTACCTGAACCACGATACTTGCTGAGTTGAGTATACACCTGCTTCATTCGTTCAATATTAATCCTGCTTGCTGTTCCATGATTAACCATAGGCTTTGGATAATCTTTTCCCACAACACATTTTGCAGCACGCTGCACATTTTCCGGAGCACTCCATGGTTCATGAATGTAGCGTGTCGGAAAATTTTTTAAAATAGGTAAATACCGTCTGAAATAGTTGCATTCTCAATTAAAAATTATGCAACACACAAAATGCAGCCATAATGTTAGTATTTCATACCACATAGATTACCTAATATAGTCTCCATTGGGATCTGCCTTTCGTCCAAATCTAACTGGACAGTAGCAATGAAAGAATTGTTGAAAAAATGACGAACATGACAACCACATCCACATGCCAGCATTTACTGACCAGTCCGCATCAAGAAGAAGTTCTTCAAATACCTACACTTAGCATTAACAATATTAGAATAAAATATTTAATGTTGTGTATAGTGCACTGGATTGTAAATTACCTTCATTCCTTCTTCCCACGAAATCCATAAATCACCACGGGTTAAAAAGCACGCAACAGCATGTCTAGCCAAATGATGGATCCATCCTTCTTCTCTCAGCTGGGTCATGATTGCATCAATCCATGGGAAGCCAGTTTGGCCCTACAGAACAAATAAATTACTAACATGAGCTATAAAGTTGGTGTAGTTAAAAAATATTGTGCAAGCTGGTGAACACATACATTGGCCCACTTGGCAATTGCTTCAAGGTTGTGGTCCCATGGAATTTGTACACATACAGGATTGCCCTGCATTTTGTCAAAATTAGGATTGCGAGTGGCAGCACAATAAAAAAATTCTCTCCACAATAATTGTCCATGTAAAGAGAGAGGAGGCACAGCCTTTTTAATCTGAAAAGGAATTGTGTCATATAACATTAGAGATTATCTGATATTATTTTTTAAAAGACAGCATTAATGTGATACAATTACGTTACCTTTTTATAAAGGTCTGTGAGTTGGTAATAAAATAGTCTGGTTGAGAGACAACCAAAGCGAAGGTAGGGTGACAATCCTGTTTGACTTGCTAGAAGTGACTGGGGGGTCATTTTGGGTCGTCCAAATGAGGCAACCCATGCTTTTCGTTCTAGATGATGTTCAAGACGCGCCAGAGCCTCGGTTTCACCACCCAGCCATACAGCAGGCTTGAGTCCCTCTGTGTCAAAACCTGAAAATTAGGAATTTTCTAATTTTCTAGATATTTTTATGTATTTTTTTTTTGAAACAAATACTCATGCTCAAATCTCTGACTTGACAAGCAGATTCCCACCTCTCCTCGGATTTGGGCCATAGGTTGTTGTTTTAAAAGGTCATCACAATGTCTTTTAAAGAACACCAATGGCCCGAAACCAAGGTGGAAAACCTACCGCCGCGCAAAGCGTTGAAAAGTCAACGATGGGCGATGGGCCACCCTAATGCATGTGCAGGAGGCCACAATAACCATTCATTGATAATCGAGGAAAGACATAATTTTTCAAGTTGAAGTTAAGATGAGTTACCTAATTCTTCCAGAGTTGGCACGCCGTACTTCTCATCATGGTCATCCTCTATGGGTGTATAACAATCTTGCATGTTCCTAGATGTAATAGTTGGCATTGCCTGAGGAGGAGGGTCCATAGAGGCCACAACGTTTTGGAACTGGTGGTAAGTTAATGGTGGCTTTCCTCCATTTTTTTCAATTATCCTGTATTTTTGAAAACAACAAAACTTTCACATTAATAATCAATAAGGCTCACCTCTTATATGTTGGTGTGATGTAACTTCACATTCGTATGCAGATCGCAGAAGACATTTTCCAATTAAGGGACGGAAATTTTAATTTTAGTATGTCTTAGTATTACCAAACCCAATTAAACTCTCTAAAGAGCATAACACATTTCTAATGAACTATACTTGTAACCAGAACTAATACTGCTTGTAAGAGTACGTTGAGGAGAAACATATTTTTTTATTTCCCAATAGGGCTATCAGCATCCACCCGTCAGGTCGGGAAGGATATTTTCTCTCAGTTAACAGTACTCACTTTTCCAGCTCATACAGCGTGTGAGACACTTTGGAAACCACACTGATGCTCAACTCCTTGCACATTGCCATTATATTCTGGTCTCGGACTCGGCCAAAAGGTTCTGGGTCCTCCTCGAATGTCAAATTGGTAGTTCCCCATTCCTGGTGGAAAAGGCAAACAATAAATACAGGTCAGTGCCAGCTCAGCGATGCATATTGCACTCAGGTGGCAAATACAGCAAAACTATGGCTGCAACATAATGTCTAATCTAAAATGCGGTTAAAGTAAGTGCTACCTACTCAGTCAGAAAATTTTCCGACGATATCGTTTCGACATCGGTTTTCACGTCGTTAGCGACACAATAGTTGGGCTAGAATCACGGCTTTTCGACGAAACGAAACATCGAAACGACGTCGTTTGTCGAAAAGCTGTCGATTCTAGCCCCACTATCGCTAACGACGTGAAAACCGATGTCGAAACGATATCGTCAGAAATTTTTTTGACTGGGTAGACATGTGATGGGGTCAAGAGCAAATGCGTGCTAGCTTGCCTTTCACCTCTAGCCATGCTCTACAAATCGAACTAGTGCAAGATGTCAGTTTGAACAAAAAGGCAACTCGCCCCCGCCGCCCGCAGTTGCGCACCGGCGCCGGTGTTTGGCTTACTGCTGGGACCGTGGGAACACTAAGGGGCCCAGTCCAGCGGGGCTTGACTCGTAGGCTTAATAAATATACGTATATTATGTACTGACCTTGAAGAGCTTTGGCAGTGCATCTGCCGGCTGTCCTCGGATTACAAAGAGCCGCGAGTTGAACTTGCGCAGGCTCCGGTCCAAGTCCTCGAGGCATTGCAGGAGAAATCTGCGAAAGGATAACATTTAACAACACGACGACGGTAGGCGAAATGTACGAAAAAGAGGGAATGTTGCGGAAGGGGGGGGCAGTCTTTTCTGCCTACTTCTAGAAAGGGAAGCCGTGCATTTTGCAAACCCAAGCATAATGTAAGTTGTCCGAGGTGACGCGAGAAAACGTTATTGGAGAAAGTTGTGCGATGAACGGTCCAGTTGCCTGAGCAACTGCACTGATGCTCAGAGCGCGGGCTGCCTGCTTCACACAGCTGCTTGGCGGGCTGGCCTACCGAGTGCGTCGCAGGCACTCTGCCATAGCGGAGCCTCATTCACAGTCGATGATATATGTACTTGTTCTGGAGTGGCCAACACCTTGCGAGTACCGAGGGACCTCACTATCTTTGCGACGAAATCAAAAACCTTATGAATCTGAGCGTGGCCACAGTTGAGAGTAGACCAGCTTTGGGATCGCCCAGAAAGTACGTCCGTTTTTCTCGGATTCCTTCGACAAAATACAGGAGCTCGGCGCCTGCGAGCCTCGGGGTAGGCCACCCCGCAGTACACGCCTGCAAAGCAGGCAGGATGTTGCCTACCCAACAGGCGCTATGGGACCTTGCATAGGCTCTGAACTTGGGAGGTTCGAAACGGCGATTGACGGACGTACTTTCTGGATGATCCCTTTTCCTCGTGTCGCCTGCTGGGGGTGGCCGGTGGCCCAAAAAGGCGAGCAAAAAGGCATCTGGACCGGACTCGACGTTACCCCACATATAAAAATCAATAAGCGCCACGAAATCCAATGAGGACTAATATGCCTCCATCGAACTTCCTAAAGACACAGAGACAGACACTGGTTTCGACCGACCTACAGCGCCATAAGTCTGTACCCAGTCGTGTTTTCCATACCATTCCTGCTTGCCGGGGGGGGGGGGCAGTTTGAACGCTAACGCCCCCACTCGTGGACTGGACTCTACCCTGCATCAGGAAGAGTTCTAGAAGTATTCCGCCGCCGCACGGGCCTCCCCTCGCCCCCC